CAAAAATAATTTATTAGGCAGCTACTTGGCTTCAGTTGAGTGGACCGCTATAAGAGTGCATTGTATTTTCAAATGCTTTGCTAACTGTGGTGAGACCTAACTACTTGCCTTAATCATTTTAGTATCACTTATTCAAGATAAAGACCTTTATATTTCTCTTAACTTTTTACTGACTAAACCTTCACAGGAGAATCTAGATCTTTCAAAAATTCATTTTTCACTAATCATCTATAAATAGACAAAACAGTGTATGGAAATTCTATGGGGATACCAACAGGTTAGTACAGCCCCAAGAATACAAGAAACCCACATACCAAAGTAACTGTGTCTTTGATCGATTGTGAGGCCCACTTCATCTTAGATGTACTACATTAAGCACACAACTTAACTCTTCATATCTTTTTTTTTTTTGGTTTTTCGAGACAGGGTTTCTCTGTGTAGCTTTGTGCCTTTCCTGGAACTCACTTGGTAGCCCAGGCTGGCCTCGAACTCACAGAGATCCGCCTGCCTCTGCCTCCCGAGTGCTGGGATTAAAGGCGTGCGCCACCACTGCCCGGCTAACTCTTCATATCTTCTATAGCAGTGGTTCCCAACCTTCCTAATGCTGCCACCCTTTAATACAGTTTCTCATGTTGTGGGGACCCCCAACCATAAAATTATTTCACTGCTACTTTGTAACTATAATTTTGCTACTGTCATGAATCATAAATGTAAATATCTGATATTCAGGATATCTGATATGTGATCCCTGTGTGTGTGTGTGTGTGTGTGTGTGTGTGTGGGGGGTGTCAAAACCCACAGGTTGAGAACTGCCACTCTATAGTCATGTACAATGCCCCCCCAAACCAAAAGGACATTTCCTCAACTTCCTTACTTCTGTCAATGGCACAAGGCATCAGCCACCGCATCACCCACCATCTATCCGTTACTTGACATGAAAAGCCTGCGTTCAGGCGCTCACTAGACCCAGGTTATTTTCACAACCTCTCCTTGTCTCCCTGTCTCGATCTATCGCCACTTGAATCCAAACAGCAGCAGACTGCCAGCCAGCTTAAATTCCACTTTAATCACATTACAACGCGGTGCAAGAATCCTGGACTGAATTCTATCCTCTGAGCAGGGAAATCAGACTCTAGCATGTCACTCAAAGCCCCTTTCTACTATTATCTCCTGCTTCTGTTCATGTGAACTCTGCCCTCAGGCTGAGGTAGCACCAGCTCTGTTAGCGGCTTGCTCAAGCTGTCCTCCGACCTCACTTTCTCCTCAGTGCAAACTCACCCTCCTGGCATGTTCAACTGAACCACTAACACAGACGTCAGCAAACATCACAGCTGTAAATAAAAGCCTTTTTCTTTCTGAAACTCACATAGCAGCTGACCCATTGATTAAGCAGTAAGCCATATGTCTCCTACTGTCTGTCCAGCCAGCAAACATCTATGATCTGATTTCGTTAATTAGAGGTAATTCCCTCATGGATCCTTGTATTTGCTTTGCTTTTCACATCCCTAGACAGAGAGCTAGAAATCTGCTAAGTGCTTAAGTGATATTTGGGGAGCAATGAGTCATCTGCACGTTTAGGTTTTGAACAAAGCCAAGCTCTGTGTGTGTGTGTGTGTGTGTGTGTGTGTGTGTGTGTGTGTGTGTGTGTGTGTGTGTTTGCTGTGTAACCTTCTGCGAGTCCACCAAGACTCTTTTCTGACAGTACAGATATTATTAGACTATGCTTAGGGGTTGGGGATTCCTTAGAATGCAACGGACTCAGCATACATCTGTAGTTCTTGCTGAAGACGTCATAGTTCATGGGTGCGCCGCAGAATCAGCTCACAGCCTCTCTAGCATCAGACTGTGGTGATGTGCCGTCCAACAGGGAAGCTCATGGGGTGTAATGAGGACTGCTGGCTTAGGCAACTGTCCTCTGCTTAGTGGGACTAAAACTCCAGGCTCTCAGAGGCATTTAGCGTGAACCGTGTAGTTCGTACCAACAGTCTGAGCACAGTAAGCCATGCTCATCATCCAGGCAAGAAGACCATGACACTAATCAAAGGCAATCTTGTCAGCAGGCCTTTCAAGGTGGCGGTCTTGAGCCTGCTTTAACTCTTCTACACAGAAGTCATTTCAGTGCTAGGGGAGAAATGCTAGTGCCAATCATTTCTGCTTCATAAAGGTCCCTAGAATAATTTTTTTAATTAAAATATAACATTTAGAGATGTGTTGTCTACACTGGCATGTGCTATTTAGGTGCCACATAATTCTGACATTTCAGGTTTTCTATTTCTCCCTGTGAAGGAAGGTACCTTTTTTTTAAATTGATGAGTGTGTGTGTGTGTGTGTGTGTGTGTGTGTGTGTGTGTGTGTGTATGTGTGTGTGTGCATGCGCGCACTGCATGTCTATCAGTGTGCACACTCAAGCTTATGTGTGCATGTGTGTTTTAAGACTGTCTCGTGTAGTCAGGTTAGCCTCCTTCTGCTTCTATCTCAAGTTCTGGGACTGAGGTCTGCACCACTGTAGCTGGCTCAAGGAATCACTCTTAAGCCAATGCTTTGGTAGTTAGGATAAAGGAATTGGTAGAACGTCTAAGTAAAGAGAACTTCTTCATCACCGAACACCAAAGTACCGCAGCGTTTCAGGGGCAATGTCCTATGAAAACCTCAAGACAACCCCAAATCACTGACTATTTCAGTTTTCCAGATTTTAGCTGTGACCACCTAAGTAAGCCCATGAAGTTTTACCACAGGAGAACTGAGATTTACTTAGACCCACCTCATTCCAAGCCCTTGCTCTCAGTTTTACATACTACCTTGCTACACAGCTTCAAAAGCACGTGTTCCTTATCACAAACCATTCCCTTCAGTCTACACTTTTTTTTTTTTTGGCTAGTTAGAGCACCATTCACCATATTTCTCTTGATAATGCCAGATTTTAGCTGGAGGAAGGGTTTGTTTAACACCAGGCTACTTGGCTTTTTTTTTTTTTAATTTTTGTTTTTTCCTGCTGAGGATAAATCCAGTTATAGCCCTCGCATCTTAAATGATTAGAAGCTGCCTTCAGAAACTCTTCAACAGCACACAGCTCTTCCCTTTGTCTGGCAACATTCTGTTTGAAGCTAGACCTGGACCAGAATCTTGGCATTCCGTGATCAGATGGGAGGGGATCTCTGGAAGGATTGCTTCCCAAGACTCGATCCATTTACTTGCAAAATAAGAACCTCTACCTCACAGCCCCGCTTAGGGTAGTACACAAGAAAGTGTGTTTAAAAGACCCAGTGGACTAGTTTACTAGGAAAAAGAGAAAAAAAAAAAGTCTGCTTTTGATGACTAACTGGCTTGGGAGAAAAAGCAAGCCAAATCAACAAACACTCCAGGCAGAAAAGGAGGCAGAAGAAGGGCGTAGACCCGTGTTCTGACCACCAGGTGTCAGCACTGGGCCAGAAGCCCAAGTTTATTGCTCCACGTTGGGGGAGGGGGGATAAGAACCCGGCAGGAAAACTCAGTCTAGGCCTCAGGGTGAGGCTGTCACTTGACCCCGACGTGACGTTCAGGATTGGCTTAGGCTTTTCCACCCCAAGAGCTAGTACTATATATATTGTTTTTGCACAGTTCATTCCTCTGACAGGAGTGTTAAAATGGTTGTAATATAATCACGCAGCTGAATGCCTACAGGTTTGTCATCACAGTTGAATATTAAAAATTAACCAGGCCGGGCGGTGGTGGCGCGCTCGGGAGGCAGAGGCAGGCGGATCTCTGTGAGTTCGAGGCCAGCCTGGGCTACCAAGTGAGTCCCAGGAAAGGCGCAAAGCTACACAGAGAAACCCTGTCTCGAAAAACCAAAAAAAAAAAAAAAAAAAAAAAAAAAAACCCCAAAAAAAAAAATTAACCGTAGTGGATTTCTTTCTTTTTTGGGTAATTTTTGTAATAGCACTTCACACATCTGTTCATTAGGCAATGAGGCGTTTTCTGGCTTCCACAGGTTTCATTATTGCCAAGGAGGGCAATTTTCTGGCTTCCATCCCACAACCCATTGACACTATTTCCTTTAGATTATTAATGGGACAGCAGATACAAGGAATAGTTTTAGTGTAAAAATTAAGCATACACAGATGGAATATAGACATTGACTATTAGCCCTTCTCCTTGACTCTAAGAACTTAAAAGTTCATTCCAAAACTTCTTCCAATTTTCTGTCTTCTTGTAGAGAAAACTACCTAAGGATAAATCTATCACTCTGTGAACAGCCTTTAAATTACTCAAGGAATCCTGCCCCACATGGCTGCATTCTGTCACCGCTGAAGGATTCTCCCACAGTGCCTAGGGGCTCATTTCAAAATGATGACAGGGTCTGGGCTCTCTTAGCTCTAAGTCCTCCACTCTGAAACGCACCGGTGGCCACTAGAAGATGGGCCATTGAGAAGATCAGCGCATCAAATGGAGACGAAGCTCTTAGGCGAGCCCAAGACTACAGCCTTGTCTGCCAGGAACACTTGACTCAAGTCAAGCCCGACCAGGCGTATCCCAAGCCCTATGCTGGCCTGGCCACCCGAAGTCACAGTAGAGTCACAGGCATTAATGTCAACCACAGACGGTTCCGAGTGGGCGCTCTTGGAACGGGAACCGTTTGGGTCATTTTTGCTTCTCAAAGCTTCAAGTCCTGGTTTGTATTTTGCAAACATGGGAATGTCTTCAGAGAAACCAGAAGCATCCTCTCTCCCATGGTCTCCATCACTCCCATTCCTGGAGAACTGGGAGGAGAGCAGACACCAGGGGCCACCTGGAGTCAGGAGCGCCGGCGTCAAGGCCAACCAGACCAACCCACTGCGAACCACTTGGTGCGGCTCGTTCGATGCCCTGACCGATTTCAGACTCGTCCCCGGAGGACGACGAGCTCACAGGGCTGGCAGCTCGGCAGAGCAAAGGGGCCAAGCGAGGAGAGGGATGCTGGCGGTGCACCAAGCCCCTGCCGGCGGGAGGGCGCGGGCGAGCAGCTCGAGAGCCCCCCGGGTTACCTGGAGGACTCCGCGGTGAAGCTGCCGCCGTCCAGCAGCCGCATCTTGCAGAAGAGGACCCCGTTGACGAAGGGCACCGAGGAGAGCTCCTCGAGCTCGAAGTCCACCTTAAACTTAAACTTCTTCTTCTTCATCATCGTGAGGGCCAGGCGGCGGCGGCAGCGGCGGCGGCGAGCGGGCTGCGCGGACGGGCGCCGCCGCCTCAGCTCGGCCGAGCCTCGGATCCGCCCAGCCCCATGGCCGGGGCCGCGAGCAGCGCGTGGGGGCGCGGCCGGGGGGCGCCGCGAGCCGGCGGGAGCCGGGGCCGCCTGTCGCGGCAGCCCGGGCCGGAGCGCACCGGCGGCTGCAGCGCCGACCCCGGCCGCCCGCGAAGAGCGGTCGCCTTGCAGCTCGCCCGCCCGCCCGCCCGGGGAGGGAGTGGGCGCCCTTTCGGTGCCGCCGCCACCGCCCGTCTGATTGCGAGCAGGGAGAGGCGCCTCGGGAAGAACGGTCGCCGCCGCCGCCGCCGCCGCCGCCGCCTCCCGGCCCCAGGCGCCCCTAGCGGCCGCGGCCGGCAGCGCACTCGGCGCGGAAGCGAGCGGGCAGGCGGGCCGGCGGAGGGCGGAGAAACCCCCGGCCCGGCGGGCGGGGGAAGCTGGGGAAGCTAACACGCGACGGCAGTAAGCTCGTCACGCCTCCCGCGGGTTAAAAAAAGACAAACCCAGCCGAAAAAGCTTCCTTCTGCAGCTTCCTCTGCGCCTTTCCTTTCTGGGGTTTGCACCGCCCCCTTTCTTCCCCTCCCCCTCCAGGGATTTCGTGGCCTCTTGAGTTTGCAGATAGAGACAAATAGAATCCCAAACCTGAAATATACCGGTAGGGGTTCTAAATTCACTAGCCCTTAAACATGAGATGAAAATCAGGTAGGAGAAAGGAAAAGCTTAAACTGTGTTGTGGCCGCATCAACCTCCCAAGTACGGGGCTGGGCCATGTGTTTCCTCTCATTGATGGCCTTGTTTATTTCATTCCTGTCACCCAGGAAAGAAAAAGGACCAGAGGGGTTAAAATGCTTACCCCTTTAAAATCTGTCTATTCTGTGAACCATTAACACATGAAGTCAGATTCTGAAGGCATGCTTAATAAAATTCTCCTTAGATGACTAACACACACACACACACACACACACACACACACACACACACACGCGCGCGCGCGCGCGCAAGCACATGCAAGAACATACAGTATCTATTGTTAAAACCTATGCTATTAACTTTGCTACGTAATGTTTTCAGCGAGGTTGTTTGTTGTTATTGTTGTTTGCTTGTTTTGTTTTTTAGCTCAGGCTGGCTTCAAACTCCCAATGTAGCCAAAGATGATGTTGAACTTGTGATCCTCGTGTTGGGGTAATAGGAATGTGCTGCCACTCCAGGTTTATGCGGTTCTAGGAATTGAATCCAGGGCTTTCATGCATGCTAGCAAGCGACCTCACAACTGAGCTACATCTCCAACCTGGGATCTGTTCTTTTTAATCTTTGAAAAGGTGTAATTGAAAAGATTCTTCTACTTAGATTACTCATTTAGTCGCTTTTTGTTTTTTTAAAATTCAATTTATGTATCTGGGTCTCTTGCTTGTGTGTATGCCTGTGTGTGCCTAGTACCAGCAGAGGCCAGAAAAGAGTGTCAGCTACTCTTAGACTGGAGTCACAGACAGTTGTAAGCTGCCATGTGGATTTGGATATTGAACCAGAGTCATTTGGAACTGCTGAGACGTCTCTGCAGCCCACTCATTTATTTATTCATATAAATATTCTAATTGCCTAAACCATCAGTCACTAGCTAGACTCCATGATCAAAACCAAAAAAAACTGCCCTTAGGAATTTTGCAGTCCTGAGCTGGCCAAGATGGGTCAGTGAGTAAAGGACCTTGCAGACACTCCTACGTGACATGAGTTTGATTCCTGGAACTCCTGTGGTGGAAAGAAACAGCTACCTAATCCCACAGGTCAGCTTCCGACCTCCACAGGTTCACTGTGAGGCATGCACACCTACAAATACACTCACATTAAATAAATACTAAGTGAATATGTTTTAAAACTTTTCAAGACAAAACTGGGATGCAGTGAGATGTCAGTGGGCGAGGCACCTTTGATCCTAAGAACCCATGTAAAAGTGGAAAGAGAAGCAGCCTCACAAAGTTGTCCTTTGAGTCCCAAACACCACCATGACATGCACACTTTCACGTACATACCTGTCTCTCTCGTCTTTCTCTGTCTCTGTCTTTCTCTTTCACACACACACACACACACACACACACACACACACACACACACGCTTGCAAGAATAATAATACATAATAATTTTTACAAGACAAAACCCAAGACAGAGGAAAAAAAAATAGAACTAAATTCAAACAGCAGAATTTAGAAGAGAAAGTGGTAAATTGAAATTAACCAGCTTTATGAACTTTAAAGAGTAGCTAGGCTTTGGGAGAAAGTAGGAGGTAGTCTTGGTGAAGAAGCACAGACTCAGACAGGGCTTAACATTTGGGCATGGGAATCTGGTAGTGGAAGCTTGCTGCCTTCTGGGACAGAAAGAGACAGGGGAAAGAGGGGATTCTAATGTTTGTAACTTGCAGAAACAAAGGGACCGAGCATGGCAAGCAGGAGGGCAGACTGGGAAGAGAGGAAATAATGAGGGTCTGGGTAGTCTGCAGGGAGCAAGGCCGGGCCTTACAGTGCCCGTGAAAGGTTAAGGTTGAAACTATGCATTTGGGAATTGTGGTATTCACTGATGGCGGAAGCCCAAAAGGCGGGTAAGAATGAGCTGCTCTGGAGAATATTTAATGGGCAGATGGCGGAGGAGGTGATTGTGAAGGCTTCCAAGAACAAGCAGCCTGAGAAAGAGATTAAGAGAGATGGCCTGAAAGCCGGGAAAGTTTGAACCTTAGCACATCAGTTATTAATATCTACTGGGGTGTTGCATGCAGAGACAGGAGGATTCCTGGGGTCTGCTGGCCTGCCAGTCTAACCAACCGGCAAGGTCTAGGTTCAGTGGGAGACTTTGTCTCAAAAAGGCATCCAAGAACGATTGATATAAATACCTGATGTGGACCTCTGGTGTACACACACACACACACACACACACACACAGGGAGAGAGAGAGAGAGAGAGAGAGAGAGAGAGAGAGAGAGAGAGAGAGAGAGAGAGGAACTTGCACACCCATGCACTGCAAATCCTGAAAGATTTGGATTGAAAAGCAGCTGCAGAATTGAAGAGCTAATTAGTTACCTTAGCAAGAGAATTTTCCATACCAGATGTTGGCAAAGTGATATTAAAATGGTTTCACAAGTGAGTAGAAGGTAGTTATGAGGAAGGATGACTAAAAGGGTTTTTTGTTTGTTTGTTTTGCTTTGCTTTTTTTTTCCCGATTTTTGTCATTGAATGAGAGGTGGCATTCGTCCAAGGAGGCTTCCAAACTTTCAGCGGTATTCAGGAACTTTCCGGCACTTAGTGGGTTCCTATTATGTGTCAAGCACTTTATAGATCTGAGATGTATCACAGATGCTGCGTCTATGTAAGAAAATAAGCCGAGAGTTGTAGTGCAATGTAGCAGCTGTCTGTAAGTGATGGAGAAGGGAGATTGCTGTGCTAGAAGATAACACATGTAGCCGAGTCAAGTAGATTTATGGAAGGCTTTCTGGGATTAGTGATACTAGAGCTGAGGCCTGGAGATATGGTGGGGGTGGGGAGCAGTTTCTATCCTGTTCTCATGAGCAGAGGCTCAGAGGAAGAGGTGCTGTGTTGCAGAGGGAACTGAAATTAGTTCTGTCTGTCTGCAATTCAGAGTCCTACTTAGAAACGGGTGTAATTGAGAGCCATTGATGTTTTAAAGCAGAGGAGTGATGTATTCAGATCTGCATTTTATAAGGCTCTCCAGCTGTAGTGACACTGGAAAACAGCATGCAGTTTGACTGTTAAACACCTGGGATGAGTCAGGATGAAGGCAGGAAACAGCCTTGTACTCCCAGTGTTTAGAAAAGGAAAGCTCAAAGTACAGAGCAGAGGGCAGAGAGGTGGGGAGAATTAACCCTGATACCTCTCACCCGCTCACTTCTGATCTCCTGCAGGTGCTTCCCATGAGCCCAAGCTAGCCCAAAGCCAGAGAACAAAGGAGCCTGAAAAATGCTGTTTAGAGGAGACAGCCATGTGGGGCATACAGGGGTGGGAACAGATCCAAATAAGGGGACAGAAAACTATGAGCACACAGTTGATTCAGCCTGCATTCCCTACTGGAATCCAAAACAACGCTAAATATTTTGAGAAAAAAAATCAGCATTTCGGTACTTCTGAAGTCTTTGGAAGGGACTGAGGATTGGAAATCTGCAGGGTATTGAATTCCAAGTCACATCACCTGCTTGGTTGGTCCTCCTTCAGCTTCGGACATTTGAAAGTTTGCATGTCCCAGTCTACTTGTAGGCAGGTATAGCTATGTGCCTTGTTCTAACCCAGTGGTTCTCAACCTTCCTAACGCTGAGACCCTTTAACACAGTTCCTCATGTTGTGGTGGCCATTTTCGCTTCTACTTCATAACGGTAATTTTGCTACTCTCATGAATCATAATGTAAGTATTTTTGGAGGCAGAGGTTTGCCAAAGGGGTTGTGGCCACAGGTTGAGAACCACCGTTCTAGCCAATACTATATGAGAAGTAATACTCCACTTCCAGGATGAGATAAAACAAGTCTTTGAACAGTTTGCTGGACCATCTTTCCCCTGCCACAGTAGTTATAGAGAGTTATGGGGAAGACCTTGACTTAGGATGGAATAGCCACAAAATCAAGAGGGCTCTGATCTCTGTGTCAGAACAAAGAGAGCAACTGCCCATACCTGCAGTAAACATTTTGGATGGAGGAAGAAACTTGTATCAGGCCAGTGAGATTTGGAGACTATGTGTTACAGCAGCACCAGGCAGATTACTCTGCTTAGAGTGTAGATGCGGGGCTGATAATAGGACTCCATGCTGACTCTCCCATCATGAGGGCCTCAAGAGGAGTCCAGCATATTCCTGCCGTCATAACTTGCTTGCAAATGGCCACAAATGCCAGGAGATGGCCTGAATTTACTCACACCCGTTTTTATCTTAAGTACATCTCTTTAGCAGAACTTATTTGAACCTATAGTTTGATTGCCAAGGGAGTCTCAGAGGTGTAATTTTTTTTTTTTAACTTTTCCAAGCTCTTCAAATA